GATGATGAAAGAAATGTGGTCCAGTCATTTCTGTCACTGTAGCCAATAGTCAATTAACATTCTTACACACAGATACTCAGCAAGTCCAGCTAACTCCAGACAAATGAGTGAACCCAGGTGGAACCAGAAGAATAATGAATCAGCTAAGACCAACTCAAATTGTTAACTCAGAATCATGAGCTAAATAAATATGTGTTGTTTTAACTCACTAAGTTTTGGGATGATTTGTTATGCAGTAGATAGTAACTGATACAAATCCCTTTATTTTTACATGGAATGGAACAAAAGGTATATCACAGAACAGTTATTGCACATATGATAACAATTTGATTCAGTCATTAGAAGTGTCATGCCTGGAATAATGAAATAAAAAACACCATTGCTACCTACACTTGTATTAATGTTTCTGGGAAAATAACTTTGTAATTTTGGAATTCCTAAAGGACTTTGTTAACCACTATGGCAATCCCCTAAAATCCTTCACAGCATCAGAAAAAAGACAATAGTCACAACGTGTCTTGATCTCATTCCCTCAGTCAGTGGGGAGCCATTTTTTTGTCTGGTGGAATTCCCTGGATGTCAAAAGGAAGTTTCTCTAAGTGTCTAAGAAACAGACCCAAATTTAAATCACTTGCTGTTTCCTCAGTGTCATTGAGAAGTACTTTTATGGACAAGGAATTAAAAACAATATTCTTTATCTTACCAGTATAATCAAAGCTCACTCTAAAAATATTAATATAGAGTATGTGCTGTTATTTTGACCAAAAATTCCTGTTAAAAAATAGCTTCTGGTGTTTTATCACTGCTGTTGTTGCAACAGAGGAACACAGTTATGTGGTAGAGCTCATTTCCCCAGACATCTACACCACCTGTCAAAGCACTGGACCTACCAGGATAGACAAGTCTGCCTCTCTTGACACCACCTCCCAAGTTCTATTGTAAGAGATTTCCTCTGGAGACCTTTGCAGAGTTCTAAACTCCACATCAACTGATGTCACTATGTTAAAAACTGTTGCAATGAAATGGACTCAGGAACAGACTGCAGGAACTATGGGTTCAAACATACTATGAATCAAAAAATTGCAATTAAATACTGGTTGTGTTTATTCACAAGGTCAGTCAGAAGCCCATGCAAGTGTTTAAGAAGGAGGAATAGACTTCTTTTGAGTTCAGTCCTTTATGAAGCAATAGGAAGGAAATTAACTGAGGCGTAAGAAGACATTCAGATTATCTGTTCATCTCCTACTGACCTTGACGTAGGGTGGTTATTTAAGGAAAGTGTATGGATGTACTGGTATGAAGGGGTGGATAAAAGCCACATGAGTGAATGGAATGATGGAGACATTCAACAATTTCTTTTACTTTTTCAATATAGTAACTATTCAAAGCCTTAAACTGCAGGGACATGCTGCAGTTGGGAACTGATTATTCAAAAACACTAACATACCTGGGGAATGGCTGGAGGAGGTGGATCACTGGGGACATGCCCTGAAAAAGTTCATCTTTCCCGTGGTCCCTTCTCCTTTCTCTTTCTACTTCCTGGCCACCATGAATGGAGTAGCACTCTTCCACCACACCCTTCTTCCATGATGTTCTGTCCTATCTTGGGCCCAGAGCAAGTGGGCTCTCCATGGACAAAACCTCTGAATCCATGAGCCAAAATAAATTTTTTTCTCCTCTAAGTTGTTTTTGTCAGGCATTTTGGTCACAGTGACAAATAGCTCTCTAGCTCACCATTTTACTATCATAAGTAAAGACCATTCTAAAAATATTAATACAATGTAGACAGCATTTTTGTGATTAAAGATTCCCACTGTCATATTATTAAAAGAATTGTTTCTGGAGGGACCCCAGCAGAGCTTTCTGCATCCACTTTGGTCCTATCCACATGCACTTCACCATCTCCCCTCCATCTCTCCTGTATCTTTGTCCCAATCTGCAACCAGAACACCTTCTCCAAACCCAGACCAGAAGATAGCTCTCCTGCCTAAAACTCTTTCATGATTCCTCATGGCCAATCGCAAAGTCAAGACACTCTGTCTGCAGTTTCCAATTCCTTCAAAGTATGTCCTGCTCGCTTTGTGTTGTCTTGGGAATGAAACTTTGGAGTATTCTCTTAGTTACTCTGAAGAGTCTACCAAGGTTGTCTAGCAGCATGGCCCATGGGGTGTGACAGGAATGAGTCTAAAGCCAGTCACGGTGACAGTTCCAGATGGGTTTTCCAGTCCCCAGCCCACTCCTCCTGAGGGTTTCTTCTGAGCTCTTATCTGTCCTTCCTGTCTTATAGGCATCCAAGTTATTAACCTGCCTAAATCCAGCCTCCCCGAAATGGCTAAGGTCCTCAACAGTGGGACCTCACTTTCTTCTGGGGCATGTTGCTCCCATGCTCACCACAATCCAAGGGTCTCAGTATTCCCAACCAGTTACTGAGCCTTGCAGACTCCTACGTAATCTGTCTCAGTGTTTACTATGTCCCTTTGGGCTAGGATTCTCCCAATCATCCTATGAGCCTCCTTATTCTGATTCTCAAGATGCAGGGTTATAGATGCCCTTTCTAAAATGCCCTCATTCCACACACTGAGCTTGGAGCCCTATCCTCTGTTGGGATGCATTCAGAGGCAGCAAGGTATTCCTTCATCAGGACTCCTGTGCTAAGTTCAAATTGCACTTGGATGTGTCTGCTTTCCAGAATTCATGCTGGCCAGACAGCATTTAGACTTCTGCTTTCAGCCAAACCCTCAGACCCTGGAAAACAGCAGACACTTGACACAGGCTCTTGAGCAGAAGCCAATGCACCCTCCCAGTTTCCAGAAGGACTCTGGCTGACTTCATGACCCTTCTTCTCCAATTTACAGGTATCAGTAGGGTTAAGCTCTCTCCTAGGACTTGCCTGTCAGGTCTGTACTCCCTTCATGGAATTGTTCCAACATCCAGTTTTATCTCTCCACTTCTTAATTCCCTCCTGATGACAGCCATCTCTCTCCAGCTGCACCTGGACCTACCTGGGGCCTCTGGTCCTGACTCTGCTGGTCTCCTAGGCCTTTCCCTCACCCTTCTTTATGGTCTCACTGGCCTCTCCACCCAGTCTGGGTTCCCCTGTGGGTGAGTGCTAGAGTTTGGATCTGGATGTCACCAGAAAGCTCCTGGGTTGAAAGCACGGTCCCTAATGCAGCAAGATTCAGAGGTGGGGCTTTTAGGCAATGAATGGATCGTGAGAACCCTCACTTCTTCTGTGGATTAATCCACTGACAGTTGAAAAGGAGATGGGACCTAGTTGAAGGAAGTAGGTCACTTGGAGCATGTCTCAAAGGGTTTTTCTTTTCCCCTGCCCTTTCTCCTTTCCAGCTGCCATGAGCTGAGAAGCTTTCCTCCACCACACCCTTCTGCCACCATGTTTCTGTCTTGGAGCCAGCCAACCATGGACTGAATCCTCTAAACTTTCCTCCAAGTTGTTCTGGTCAGGTATTTCGGTCACAGGACTGAAAAGCCGACTACCACAGTAGGGCTGATTCTATCCAGACCTCCTCCTTCTTTTTTTCTCCCTCCCCTTTATTTTACAGGCAGAGGGCTCCTACTAGGAGCCTCACTTGCTGGCAGATGGCCACACCCTGCTGGGGAAAGTCATGGAGCCAGAGGTCAGATTATATTTTCAGAGACTGTCAATGCAACCTGGCAATTTCTTTAGAAGTCTCTTCTAGAACATTCAACTACCTCCCAGTCATTACTCTCAAGTATCTCTAAAATCCTCATGTCCTTGAAGCTCCCCTAGCTGCATCGATCCTTGGCCAACATGGACCAACAATGGACCCCTCATTTCTTCTCTTTTCAGTCCAGAGCATTGCAGTAAACTAGATTTCCCTTCCCACCTGTCTTTTCTCTCCCAAACAGCAAGCTGACCTCTCCTGCACACATAAGTGGTGTGCATACTTTACTTCCCCAGCAAACAGCTCTAATTCTGAATTCTTTGCCATGAACATCTACCTCCATCTACAAAATGTTCTTGCCCAACTTAGCCAAAAACAAACAACTTTTCTCTTTTGACCACACTCAAACTGCAAATATTTGCACTTTGCTTCTCATCAAATTGACCAAAAATGTGACCTCCATCCCTCCCTGCCACTCATGTCCTAGGAAATTACCCTACTTGCAGTCGAGTAACTTCTCAAACTTGGACAATAGCCTTCTAGCTGACAGCCTTGCATATCTGCTCTCACCCTCCCACCTGGCACATCTTTGCAAGAACAGATGTCCTGCAACCTTCAACCACTGTGCCCTATCACATCATGTCTAATATGTGCACTTCAGCACATGTGATTCAAAGGCTCTCATTCTTCCCTACTCTACTAAATAAATAATCTGCCCTGGGCTGGGGATGTAGCTCAGTAATAGGGTGCTGGCTTAACATATGCAAAGCCCTCAGTTCAAACTCCCGCATTAAAAAAAAAAAAAAGATTTGTCTAATAATTCAATTCATCTTCCCTTTTTCAATTTGTTTCTTCCAGCAGATTTTAGTAATACTGATAATCCCTTAAGAGAAACTTTGAAATTCCAAGTTAAGGGAACCACATATGTCAGCAAAAGCACTTCCCCAGTTGTCCCCACACATGCATCTCCAGGCTTGTACGGTTCTAGGACCATGAGTTCCTCTAGTCTTGCTCACTTTTGCCACTGGCTTCTCTCCCTCATGGATCATTCAACAGCAGGATCCCCAGCCGACTCCCTAATGCCGGTGTCTACTGCCCATCCCTGTGGCTTACTTTGGGTCACCTCTGACCAGATTGACTGCTGATGTCCCCTTGATTCTTTATCCACCTCATCTTTCTCCATTCCTTCCATCCTTCATAAATACTCAGGAGTTAAAGAGCACCAAGAATGCTTTCAATTTCCCTGCATTTCTGTATGCGAGTTTCATTCCTTAACTTTTGCTGGACACTCACTAGTACCCCCACCAACCCCACTGCTCCATTCCAGAAGGTTCCCCCCTAAGCACATCCTCTGACCTCCAGCTCCTGTAATTCTTCTTCCTCCTCCACATCATAGGACAAGGTGTGGATTTTGATGTCATCAGCTGAGAGGTCAATGAACTTCCCATCTGGGTACTCCAGGCTGTCTTTGGTGGGCGACCGGTCCTCAATGAAGGTGGTCTCACAGCAGTCGGCAGCCACGCCATCCCCCCAGGAGCGCAGCACTCCTTCCGAGTAGAGGATGATATTGGGACGGTAATGGGACTCCACCGACTGCTGCAGGGTGTTGGGATCCAGCAGCTGCTGCACAGGCTCATTTCTGCTGCTGTCCAGGCTGGCTGGTGCTGTGCTGGCCACCACCCTGCGGCTCTGGTACTGGGGCGCTGGGTAAACAGACACCAGGCCATCTCTACTCTCAGCCATGAAGTTTCTGGTATTAATCAATCCATTCCTCTTACCAGCATCACTGATCTTACTGTGCACCAGCACACTCTTCTGCTCGATGATGCCATCCATGGTCCTCTTCCTCCCCAGCTGGGCGTCAGGCTGGTGAGCTGGACTCACAGGTCACACTTGCCTCATGGGACCCATTTCTCCTGGAAGAGGAGAAAACAAGAGATGAGCTAAAAATTTCACTCGAAACAAACATAAAGTTCATCATCCAGACCCATATTGTTTCAGACTGTACCAGTCAACCAGTATGCATAGTGGCTGTGAAAATGAGATAAATATGCAGTCCTACCTGTTCCTGTGAATTTTAAAAAGGTTCTCTCAGGGCAGCCAGCCAGAGTAAGCCTGAAATTGATTACTTGCATCTCTATGAAGTCTCTGCTTCCAAACGAAGGAAACTGCAAGAACTGGATCCACTGCAGCCCTACAGAACCTCTGATTGCTAACAGACATCCTGAAACCCACAGGTAAACTCAATCACATTAGCATCTCCTCTGTCCACAGGGAAATAAGACTGCAAATCTGTAATGTGGATTGACTATTCCCAGGTACAGTGCTATTCATTCAAGCAGAAAATCACACACCCAAGGAAGAAAGGGTTTAAAATAATGTTCCACGCAGATTTAGAAGATGAGTGATAGGAAGAGCCATACCATGAGTACTGTACCTGGACAAAATTTCCCCAAAGAGACACACTTGCATGTGTGTACTGGTACATTCTAGTGTGCATATTAAAATGAGCTCAACACTTACACATGCTTCCTGGGTTCCCAGCATGGCCCCTGGAATCTCACTAAAAACTCCCCTGCTTTGATTTACTTGATTTTGTAAGATGCCTACACATTTGCGATACCATTAAGAAGTACTCCAAACTGTTTTCTCCCTAGATTGTGTTCCTATTTTTCTAGGCATGCAAATCTGAAAAAATAACAAGAGAAGAGGGTGAGAGCGGGACAGGGAGAAAGGCAAGAAGAAGGAAAAAGGGAGAGGGAGGAGGAAGAGGAAAGAAACTAGAGCTTAAGATTTTCGGAAAGATTTAAAAAAATGAATTTCCCCAGGCTTTCTCTGTTTGCAAGTTAATAACTGTTATGCATGAAAGCATTTCATCTGGGGAACTTCTGGTGTTCTGACTTTCTACAAGATTTAAGACTTTTCTTAATACTAAACTGCTTTATTTGGTGGCACACACAGTAATCTAAAATTGAAGACTGACCAAAGGAAAAGAAGTACAGATGACACCTTTGGGACTAATTGAAAAATCCGAAAGAACATTTTCAAATGACTAGTTCAACCTTTAGTACATGCACTAAGAGACAATGAGTATTATTAATATGATACTGTGTACAATTTAAGAAAGGTCAAAAACAGACTATCACCTCTGTTTATATGTTTTGAAGTATCTCTCTCTGGAGGCACATTCACAGTCTGAGAACTAAAATCATTAACTAAACTATTTGAACAGAGACCTTCCGATGCCTGTAACATGCCAAACAGCACACATTTGGGGATCACCTCTGTGCTAAATAATCTTTCAAGCCATCACAATGTGCTTGATGGAATATTTCTAGTTCAATTACTCAACTTCTCCAGTATTCCTCCTTCCACAAAGAAGCCACTGGTTTTCTATCCAAACTGGGTTCCTCCTATTCTTTGTGATCTACTGGATGTGCCAGCCAGTAAGTCTAAAATAACATTGAAGCTCAGCTTAATTTCTCTGACTGAGCACCCTTTACCCAGATCAGCGGTAAATATCTTGCAGAACATATGTGATTGTGTTTGTTCAGATTCCATTTCCTTCATGAAGTTGTATGCTCTTGTCCAACCAGAAGTAACCTTTTCATTTGCTATTGTGCTCTCTTGTCTCTTCTTGCTTTCGTCTTACAATGCCTATGGCATTCTTCTCTACCAATGGGACACTGCTCCTCCAGTTCTGAAAAGTCCTTGAGACCAAATAATCAATATCAACATTTCTCCCTTTTCTTGTACCTGGTAGTCAAGGATCATGCAGTGAAATAAACAGTCTCTAGTGTTATATGATGAGAATGATCCCTACTCAGTGACAATCTCCCTGAGCTGTGTTAAGTCTCAAAGTTGGATCCAGTATTAAGGCATTTTGAGATAGGCACAGCTTAATCTCTTCCATGCTCTCTACAGTTTACCACTCAAAGTTCTGCTGAGACCCAGAAGACTCAGCACCACCTGGGAACTTGTTATAAATACAAAATGGCAGGAGGTGTTTGTATCTCAGTGGGATAACACCTGATTAGCATGGACAAAACCTTGTGTTCAATCTCTAGCATCACAAAAATAACAACAACAAAAACAGAACCTTGAGTAGGACTCATATCTCTTGAATTAGTGTTTCACTTTAACATGGTACCTGTGGATTATTCACTTTAATTATACTTAAAGCTTAAAGGGCACTGTTACATGGTGTATAGTTGGTCTATTGAATAAGTTGCTTGATTTTTACAGTTGATTATTTACTTTCTTTTAAAAAGTATTCTGATGAATACAGGATGAGCATCCCTTATCTGAAAATTCAAAATACAAAATGCTGCAAAAAGCAAACATTTTCATCACTGACATGACACTGCAAGTGAAAAATTCCACACCTGACCTCACATCATGGACTGAAGTTGAAACTCAAGTACACTAAAAATATCATATAAAATTTCCTTCAGGCTAGGTGTATATGCAGCATAAGAGAATTTTGTGTTTAGACTTGGATCTCATCCTCAAAATATCTCATATATATATATGAAAACATTTCAAAATCTAAAAAAAAAAAACAATCTGAAATTTGAAACATTTTTTCCTGGACCCAAGCATTTTGGATCAGGGATACTCAATCTGTATATCACATACATTCTTAAATAACAAACTTTTTTCTTATTGAATTGAATTTTGCAGCTTTGAGCAGCACAAATGATACTTAACATGAAAGAAAAGGGTTGAAGTTAATGGAGTTTTAGTTTCATTGTGACAGCATCCTTCAATATCTCTTTCAAGACAGCCTTGATGTCTGGATTGCCTTTAACTTTATAATTCCAATGAGCTCATTTCCATCCATGTTTACTTCTACCCACTCCTACCTGTTGACAGTATTTCCCTGAAACCAAGTTCATCAATTTGGAGATAAAACACAATGGTCCAATAATGCTGCCATCTAAGATAATTCTTATGGCTCTGCAGAAATGCACACGGGAGTCGTGTCCCAGAACAGTCTATTATCCTCCCAATGTTTGTTCTGGCAGACACTTCTGTTACCTTTGTATTTTTCTCAGTCTACAGTATTCAAGAGCAGTGGCTACAAGTTTAAAACTCCTTGCTAACACTTTCTTTCTGCATAAATATTCTCTGCTGTGTCTAGGATACTGCCTTGTCTTGAAAACTTGACTGGACTCCTAATGTCAACCTCTCGGTGAGATCTTAGAGACTGTGTTTTGAGTCAGAGGCAGCTCACTGAAGTGCATCACCAGCCAATCGTGCTACATCTGCTTCTTTATTGATGATAGCAGCAGGAGGAGAAGACAAGGTGAAGAGGGGCTTCTGTGGTCCTGCATTTGAGTCCCCACTGCTCTGTTCCTCCTTCCCTAGTTCCTGGACTCTCTCTGTACCCTAAGAACCTCCTGGTGAGTTAACAACATATATACCTGTTCATGAATTTAGATGAAGATAAGTGGATTAAAAAAATTGATAGGGATGGTGAAAAAAAACCAGAAAGACAGAAAGAGGGTATGCAACATCTTCTGTATCAATTACTTATTCTATAAAACATATTTTTTCTTCTCTTGGAAACTGGCATGATTTAAAGAGAGTCAGGAATTTGAGGATTTAGCCACAGTTTTTGCTACTAAATGTTTGTGTGGTCATAGGCAAGGTGCTTATGAAGGTGGGATTATTGATGGAGCAATTGAACAAAAATGTTTTGAGGTTCCTTTCAGCTCCATGATTTATACATCTTGGATCCAGAGTCCTGGGTATATGGAATTAGCTATAGCTTTTCCACAAAATTGTATCAGTAGTGAATTACAACAAGCAGTTAAGAACTAGAACCAATTCTCACCCTCAAAAAAAAAATGAAGAGGAAGGAATACTTCCTAACTCACTGAGAAACTACAATTACCCTTATACTAAAACCAGACAAGAATGTAACATGGAAAGAAAACTACAGATCTATATTCCATATGAGTATTGATACAAACGTTCTTAACAAAATTCTAGCAAATAGAATGAAGAAACATATAAAAAAATACCATGATTCAGTGGGAATTTATTTCTGGAATATAAGAATGGTTCAATATCAATATATGAAAACCAATCAGTGTAATATACCACACTAGTAGAATAAAGGACAAAATGCATGTAATCATGTCAGTTTGTTCAGAAAAAAAAATTGACAAAATTTAACATCTTTTCATGATAATAATTCTCAAGAACTATTAATTGAAGAAAACTATTTTAAGGGGCTGGGGTTGTGGCTCAGCAGTAGAGTGCTGGCCTCACACATTCGAGGTCCTGGGTTTGTTTGATCTTCAGCACCACATAAAAATAAATAGATAAAATAAAGGTATTGTGTCCAACTACAACTAAAAAATAAATATTTTTTTTTCAAAAAAGAAAACTATTTTAACATAATAAAAATCGCATACAAAAAAAAATACCCATAGTGAACATCCTACTTAACAATGGTAACAAGCTGAAACATTGTCCTCTAAGATCGGGAACAAGGCAACAAGACAAAAATGCCTACTTTTGCAACTTTTGTTCAACATTATCCTGGGAGTTATAGCCAGAGAAATCAAGCAAAGGAAATAAAAGACACTCCAGTTGGAAAGAGAAAAAGTAAAAATATTTCTGTTCACAGATTATATGATCTCATATGTTGAAAACAAGATTCCATACACAAAAGCCTGTTAGAATTAATAAGTACATTTAGCAAAGTAGCAGGATACAAAGTCAATATGCAAAAATCAGCTGCATTTTTAAGCAATTTTTAAATGAATTTACAAAACAATTTCATTCACAATACCATCAGCACATAGAAATTAATTTAACCAAGGAAGGAGGTGAAAGACTTGCATAATAAAAACTACAAGATGTTGCTGAAAGAAATTAAAGAAGATATAAATAAATGGAAAGA